ATTAGAAATCATATTGGGATGTCCCTATTTAAATGTCTCATACCTTATTTGGTAAAGTTTGTGTGGCTCAAAATCATTCTTACTTTATTCTTACTTTATCAATTAATATCAACCACACAAACCCACTTTTCTTAAAACTCGTGTCACCCTCCTCCGGGACATTTAAAAGGGGAAGGAGGGAGTATATTCGTATTCCAGAGGACATATGTGTCCAATAAATGAAAAAGAAGGTGCGCCCAGCCATTTTGGTGGCGCGCAGAGCACGAGCGTTTGAATTTCAGGGATATCAAAGAGGGGAAAAAAAACAAATTCCAACACGTAAGTACAATTATGTACTTTTTTATCAATTAAATAAAAATTATGATGTTTCCTCAAACTCATTTGTCTGTCTAAATCCATTCTCAGAAATAACAGGAGATTGCCAAACATCAAGATGTATTAAAAATAAAGGAGTAATTGATTTATGCCAAACTTCTGAAAAAGGTAATCGTTGAGATTTCCATAATCGACAAGAAATACAATCATGAAAAAAAGCAGAAGTACTTAAAATAGAACCAGTCTTCTTAAGCTATCTAAAACACGGCTGCCACCATGTCCCAAGCGTTGATGCCAGACAGGTCCAGGTGCAACGTGGGAGGAAAGAGCAACAAGTGGAGAGTGAGAGAGGGATATGGGATAGACGCCGCCATTACTTGAAGCCTGAAGAAGAACCTCCCCCCGAAATTTTATCCCAAACACGATTTTTATCAAAAATCACAAAACAGTTATTGTCGGCACATAATTTTTGAATGGATAATAAGTTGTATTTCAGATCAGGAACGTGATAAACAGATTTTAAATGAAGAGGCCTAGGCAAAAAAGATAATAGCATATTACCAATAGTCACAACCGGCAAGCTAGAACCATTATCAACCATAACAGAAAGTGGCCTAGAATAAACAGATTTACTTTCTAAAATACCTTCATTAGAAGTCATATGAGCAGAGGCGCCAGAGTCGGGGTACCAAACTTGCGGAGTGGATTCAACGGTAGGAACATCTAATGCCGGAGCCTGGGCCTGAACAAAATGAGATGGACACGAAACAGCAGAATGACATGGGAAATGACAGATTTGACACACGGCGGGTGGAGGAACAAAACCAAAACTATTCTCAAAAGAGGATGATCATGTAGAAGCATAGTTAGTACAAATAGTAGATAAGACAAAAATATAAGATGATGACTGAACCGGATTATAAAATACTCTACCCGATTGATCCCCTTGACATGGTGGATGAGGACCCCGGCCGTAGACTCCATGTGGTGGCTATTGCGGATGATGCTGACCGGGACTGAAGTAGGTAAGAGGTTGTCGTTCCCCTGCGGCTGCTGCTGGTACCTGCCGAGGCCACGCCCTGGCCTCGATTTCTGCGCCGTCCGCCACGACCATCTCGGTTCGGCTTAATCTTCAACTTAAGTAACTTGGAGGTCACAATGTGTGTAATTGAGGCCCCGAACGTCATCCCTTGAGCCAATGTACGGAACGAGACCGACAGGGAATTGTCCGAAGAACGATGGCTAATGGTACCAGATGAAGGCGAAAATAATAGACCAGGAATGCGGACAACGTTGGTCGAACAAACCGGAACCAGGCAGCAATGGCGGCGCTCGACTCGGCGTGAGAGACAACCATAAACGGAGGCGGCAGATTGAGCGTCGGTGGTGTCGGGGTCCATGTAAAAAGCGGTGGCACCCAGGCGGAGCTCAGCGGTGAAGGCAGCACGTCGGTGGTGATGACGGACAGCTCCGACGACTCAGTCAGAATGGGGTGCGTCTGTACCGCGCTCAAACCCGGCTGGTCTACCTCCGTCGTTGAAATAACGGCGGTGGTGACGATAGCATCGGTGGCAGCGGCGGCCGAAGATTGAGAGGCCATGGATTGGGGATTATTTAAAAAAAAAAAAAACTGGCTAAAACCCTATAACTCTTGATACCATGTGAGAATAATGAAATGACTTACCCAATAGGTAGCTCTGGATGTCATATATATATATATATATATATATATATATATATATAAATAGAATTAGTGTCCTGAATACAATAAGAAATTAACAAAATATGGAAACCCTATTTTAAATAATTAATACATAGTAAATTATTATGATACTCTTTTTATCAACTAAATAAAAATTATAATATTCTCTCAAACTTATTTTGTCTATCTAAGTGGAGACCTTGTGCAACAACAAAAATTGGGCCTTTTTTCCAAATTCCAACACAGGTATTTTGTATTAAAATACAAGTTACTAATGAACACTGATATAAATAAAAGTAGTCATTAATAAAATGTGGAAACATAATTAATACCAAATACTTCCTGCATTCTTTTTTAGTTGCAACGGTCAATATTTCACACTTGTCAACGCACGTCTTTGACCGTAATCATATCTTAATCTCTAATAGTAAAAAAATTAAAAATCTGATTTTGAAATTTGTAATGAGATGAATTGAAAAATAAATTTTAAAAAAACAATTCTCATAAAATAATAGCGTAAAATATAGTCAAAGTAGAATATGTGAATATTTTAAAATTCAACATGTTGCGATTAAAAAAACGGAGGATAGTATCAATTATTGAAATTATCTGCTAATTCAATACATGTTTAAAAAAATTAGGTTAAAATTCAATTTACATTTTCGGTGAAATTATGAAATAATTATAATTTATAAACTTAAAGTTAGTACTTGGTAGTTACTTAAGAACATACTTACACCAATTTCTTGAATCTTAATTGAATAATTGTGAAACACACTTATTCTCAATTATATTAGTCAATTGCAAGCAGGCACAACAAGTAGGCAACAAGTGGGATAACAACAAGGCAAGTAGGCAACACAGAAGTACAGAAAAAACTAATATCACATTTTCACTAATTTCAATTCAAAGAATCAAAGAAAGAAAAAAATCATAGTGCTTACAGCCTAGGGTTGGTGGACTGCTGTACAACAGAACAGGTAGAGTGTAATGCACTCGTGCGGACGGACGTAAGCTCGTGGTCCTGGAGGAGGGGTGTCAGAACTCATCTACCACAACACTTCGTAATTCAAACTTTGTTCGTTCGCTCTGCTTTTCCTGTTCGCAGCTCAAAACAAGACTGGGCTGAGTAATACTATTACTTTTTCTTTTTTTGGCCTTCATAAATTATGGGCCCAATGCGAATGGGCTAGGTGCGCCCAGCCTGGATCTGGGGTTGATATTGCGTGTGTTTGATTAGTATTAACATACTACGTATTCGATAATAAGTGAACCAAAAAAAATACTTCGTACCAACTATCTTTCATGAACCAAGAATAATATGTACTTTAAAAATAATCTTGAATAATATCAAATGTAGAACAAAAATAATATGGAGTCACATTTTTACAAGAAAATCGGTCATTCAAGAAATCAAAAACTAATATTAAATAATCAAATAAGTGATATTTGTATATAAAGTCACTTATGTGATATTTTGAAATTAACTTTTTATGAATAAAATGACTAAATTTTTAGTAAAAATTTGCGTAATATCACTTTTGATATGTATTCAAATAGTTGGTATTATTTAAAGTTATTTCTAAAGTTCGTATTATTCTTGATTCATGGAAGATAGTTGGTATTATTTAAAGTTATTATTCCTTCTATTTATAAAGACAATATGGAGGAAATCCAAATAAAAATCCATTTGAAGCCAAAAGAAGTGAAAAGTTGTTGTCATAATAAACGAAGCATTATTTAATTACAAAACAATTAATTGAATACAAATATAATCAATTTTTGTAAGTTATAAATAAAGCAAAATAAAAATGAGGATAAAGCTAAAGAGAATTAATAAATATAAATAAAATTATTGGAGAAACATTACAAACATACACATGCAAAATTAAGTAAGAGACATGACATTATGAGGTTCGAAAAAATGTTCTAATTTTAAAATATAAAATAGAGTGCCACATCATATTCAATGTATTCAAGTGTAATGAATCCATCTAAAGTACAATCATACTAATTATATAGCACCCCGATTAAACTTGATACATTGACTTGCATGTGAAATAAAAAATTGTATGAATGAGAGTTATGTTGTGTGATTGGAGGAGAAACGAGTATTTAACCACATATTTATTACTTTATTTTAATGGAAATAATAAAAAATTGGAGGATTAAATAAAGAAAGTGAGCAAAATTTTGTGAAACGGTTGAGTAATTATGACTAGTAATCAACTGCAAAAAAACAATGCATTAATTAGATCTATTATATCTATCCATTAGCAAATATGTAGTTTCTTAAAATAATTTAATCATTACTAGATCCAAACATCTGATTGTACTAAATGTAATTTAACTTAATTGAACTACACAATAATTATAAAGCAATAATCAAGAAACTCTATAACAATACATTTAAATGGGGAATTTTAAACCAATGAACGCTAAGACACACCACTAATAATTTAGGGTACCATATCTACAATGGTACGTTGGTCCAAATAATTATTACTATTTATTCATGTTTAAATTATCCAATTCTTTACTATTTGTAATTAGCCCATCCCGATTAAGTACAGTATCTTGGAGATACCTTGGAATTTACCTTACAAAAATGAAGATATTTGAAGTTTTTATTTTCTTATAATATTATTGTGTGAAATTTTGATAGTGTAATTTAAAAAAATCAAGGTAAAAATATTATATAAACCACATGAAGACATAAATGGAAACAAAAAATATAAGTTCATCTCTTCTTAAGTACTGGAATGACTACGTACGTTTATGAAAAAAAGTGTGATCAATATATATTGATTCTTTATTGTCTAGATACTTTTAAACTCCGTAATTTATACTTAATTATATTAGTCATTCAAAAAATTATATAATCTTTACATTTGTATTCTTAATTTATAGCACATATGGTGAGATAGATGAAGAGGTATATTCTAGAATAAATATTTCTACTTCCTGATAGACCATATTTAGAGGGTTCGTATACCATACATCCGGCTGTACGGTGAGCACCGTACAGCCGGCCCAATTTTAGTGTTTTTAAATTACTTAACTGTTGGCCCGTGCTCCAAAAGCCCAAAATTTGAAAATACCCGGTTGCGGTAAAATAAAATACATGAACGATTTTTTTTAAAAACAAAAAGCAACTGCAAATCTCTCAAAAACCGCAATCTCTTCGCACGAGACACAACTCTTCCCAACTACACCGCCATATCTGTATCTCGACATTAATGGTGACCAGTTAATCGGAGTTGTTGCTTTACGAGCTAGAAGAAGACGGGGAAGGAGATCTGAGTTCCGAAGTGTTAGGTTTTGAGTACTAAGAACGAACAGAGCTATGGATCTCGTTTCAGAATGGAACATGCTTTCAAATGCACATGAAGAACACGAAAGTGCTGAAGCATCTGAAAAGTATGTAATACTCATTCATATACATTTGCATTTTGTTTCTTAGTTCTCATTATGTTAATAAAATTGCATGTTCGTTATTTTGGAGAAAAAACATATACAGAGTATAATTTAGATAAAAGTCAAATTGATTATTAAAATGTTATAATGATCATTACCGCCCCTCTTGTGCTCATATTTCGAGTACAATAAGACAACAGGTGTTTGTTAAGTACATATAAGCGTCAATATGTTTACTGCAATCAATTGTGTTTAGAAGATGCTTGTTATGAAATGATATTACATTAAAATTGGTACAATACTCATCACGTGGTTTGTGATACTCATATATTTCTTATTTAAATGTTTATAAAGTAACGAAATATGTGATATAGATTTGACATGTTGGTTACTGTATAATACTCATATTGTAATCTCTAATGCTCATGTGTACTGCAAATAATTGTTACTGTATAATACTCATATTGTAATCTTTACTGCTCATGTCTACTGCATATAAAGTTCAATGTGCTTATGAAATTTTGAAATGGTTGAACAATATTCTAATAGTCTTATTTGGTTATTTCAAAAGTAATGATAGTATGAAAACTGTTACAGTACTCATCATATGCTTTTTGATACTCATATAGTTCTTATTTTAATTTTTATGAAGTAATGTATTATGTGACATAGATTTCACGTTTTGCTTGTCGTGTTAAATGCTCACTGAATACTGATATAATACTCATTTGGAACTCTGTAATGCTCATGATTACTGGGAACAAAGTTCAATGTGATTATGAAAATGGCACAAGAATATTCTTATTTGGTTATTTCAAAAGTAATGATAGTATGAAAAATGTTACAGTACTCATCATATGCTTTTTGATACTCATATAGTTCTTATTTTAATTTTTATGAAGTAATGTATTATGTGACATAGATTTCACGTTTTGCTTGTTGTGTTAAATGCTCACTGAATACTGATTTAATACTCATTTGGAACAGTATAATGCTCATGATTACTGGGAACAAAGTTCAATGTGATTATGAAAATGGCAGAAGAATATTCTTATTTTAATTTTTATGAAGTAATGTATTATGTGACATAGATTTCACATTTTGCTTGTCGTGTTAAATGCTACACTGAATACTGATATAATACTCATTTGGAACTCTGTAATGCTCATGATTACTGGGAACAAAGTTCAATGTGATTATGAAAATGGCACAAGAATATTCTTATTTGGTTATTTCAAAAGTAATGATAGTATGAAAAATGTTACAGTACTCATCATATGCTTTTTGATACTCATATAGTTCTTATTTTAATTTTTATGAAGTAATGTATTATGTGACATAGATTTCACGTTTTGCTTGTTGTGTTAAATGCTCACTGAATACTGATTTAATACTCATTTGGAACAGTATAATGCTCATGATTACTGGGAACAAAGTTCAATGTGATTATGAAAATGGCAGAAGAATATTCTTATTTTAATTTTTATGAAGTAATGTATTATGTGACATAGATTTCACATTTTGCTTGTCGTGTTAAATGCTACACTGAATACTGATATAATACTCATTTGGAACTCTGTAATGCTCATGATTACTGGGAACAAAGTTCAATGTGATTATGAAAATGGCACAAGAATATTCTTATTTGGTTATTTCAAAAGTAATGATAGTATGAAAAATGTTACAGTACTCATCATATGCTTTTTGATACTCATATAGTTCTTATTTTAATTTTTATGAAGTAATGTATTATGTGACATAGATTTCACGTTTTGTTTGTCATGTTAAATGCTCACTGAATACTGATTTAATACTCATTTGGAACTGTATAATGCTCATAATTACTGGGAACAAAGTTCAATGTGATTATGAAAATGGCAGAAGAATATTCTTATTTGGTTATTTCAAAAGTAATGATAGTATGAAAACTGTTACAGTAGTCATCATATGCTTTTTGATACTCATATACTTCTTATTTTATTTTTTATGAAGTAATGTATTATGTGACATAGATTTCACATTTTGCTTGTGGTGTTAAATGCTCACTGAATACTGATTTAATACTCATTTGGAACTGTATAATGCTCATGATTACTGGGAACAAAGTTCAATGTGATTATGAAATATGAAAATGGTTAAAGTGTTTTTAGTTTTGAACTAAAATGGTATAACTCATAATAGTATTAATTCAAAACTGATATAGTACTCATCATCTTGTAGATAGTACTCAAACACTGTTGCATGAAATTTCTGAAAAAGCTCATTATAAAGTATTAGCATCATTTAAGTATTACAATACTAATGTTGTGATTTTTTAATGCAGAAATCCACCAACAAAGGTTGTAACAGAGATTCCAGTCCTGCGTAAAATACCAAAAAGGAAAGCATTAAAAAGTCCAAAAGTTTCAAAAGCCCTGAAGCAACAAAAGAAGGTAGGTGTTCAAAAGAAAAGAAAAGCATCTGAAGAGGTTTTAGAAGTTAAACAACATACAGCTGCAGATGAGGATGCTGTTGATGGAGAAAGTTTCAAGCAGAATGAGGATCCAGGTCATAATACAGTTCAAGAAAAAAGTGATGAACAAGTTCATCAAGATACTGTTCAGGAAGCTGAAAAATATATTGAAGAATATGAGCATGTGGAGGGAGTTAATGAGAAAGAAAATGATGATGGCACTACAGCAGATGTCAATGCTTTAGAAGAAGTTGAGCAACATACTACTGCAGAAAAGAAACAGCTTTTAATGCAAGCATTGATAGAAGAAGTGGGTGAACAAGAGAGTGGTGAAAAAAGAAGAAAGAGCAAAACATCAAAAGCAAGAAAAGTTGAGAAAAGTGCAATGCAAGTCTTCTCAAGCAAAAGAATAACAAGATCGCAAACATCAGAAGAAGGTGATAACAAGGAAAAAGAAGTTGCGAAAACTGGAAATAAAAGTAAAGTGGTAGCAAAGAGAGAGAATAAAGAAAAGTTGAAGAAAAAGAAAGAAGACGACGTAGAAGAAGATGAAGATGAGGAAACAGAAAAGGAGGGTGATGATAACCTTCCAAAGCTATGGTCAAGAATGTCTCCTAGAAGTCTAACTGAGGTAATCACATCCCTCTCTGAAGAACAGAAGGAAGAAGTGGTAGACATGGGGTTTGGCCCAATACTACACTTAAAAATCAAACAATTGCCAATGCAGTTGGCATATTGGGTTGTGGACAGGTTTGATAGCAGGAGTGTTTCATTGCATTTGCCAAAGAACGAGAAATTGCGTGTCACTGAAGATGCAATACACTACACAATGGGATTTCCAAAGGGAAACTTGGATGTGAAAAGGTTGATAGATACTCAAGGTGAAAAAACAGCAGAGATGGTGGCTGATTGGAGAGCACAGTTCAGTAGTGATAAAGGACTTGTGAGGACTGGTGAACTGAAAGATCTATTGGAGAAAAATAAACAAGCTGGAGGCTGGTTCAAAAAAAAATTCTTGGTTCTCCTGGTGACTTGTTTAATTGAAGGAAAGCAGAATTGCTTTGTCAATCAAAGCATACTCAAAGCACTGGATGATGAGTCACAAATAAAGAATTTTAATTGGTGCAGTTATGCTTTGCAGACATTGATTGAATCAAAGGACTACTGGAATAAAAGCAGAGCACGACAGTTCCCAGGACCTCTTCTCTTTTTGATTGTAAGTTAAAAACTATATAATTTCAATACTCAAAGTAATCATTTTATTACTCAATTATGGTATGGTAATGCACAATTCTAAATATTGAAAAATGTTAGGTGTTTTATGTTGACAATATGGTATTCAAAGGAAGGAAAGTAGACAGAGGCTTGCCATCTATAGTTGGATGGACAACTCAGAATCTCAACAAAAGGGAAAAGGAAGAGATAGAAAGTGGAGGGTTTGGATTTGGATACATAGATGAACCAAATCAAGGAACTCTTACAATTCCAAATCTGATTCAGAATGAAGAGAATAAGAAAAACGAGGAAGAATGCAGTGAGCAAGCAGATAAGGTAAGGCAAATAATGTACTCTTTATACACTTGAGTATCATATAAATTATACATGAGTATATTATTAAATTAAATTGAGTAATAAATATGAACAGTGGAAAAACTGAGTTACTCTAAAATTATCATATAAGCATAGAAAAATTGTTGTGCATCATTTTATATGTCCTTAACACAATACAGTAACTCAAAATAAAATAAAATAAAATAACACTGAATGAAAATTTTAGTAATACACTAATACTCATATGATTTATACAGGATATCATGAAGGAATTCGCTTCAGCAGCAAAGCATTTGGCAGATAGCATAGCAAACTTTGATGAAAAGTTTCAAGAAGCTGCGAAGGTGTTGCCTGATGATGAAAAAATGAAGGTTTTGCTAGGTAAAGTGCATGGACTCTTCAACACATACTCAACAGAGCCACAAACAACTGAAAAAGAAATAAGAATGACTCCTGATGATGAGTTTTGGACTGAAGAGGTTTTAAAGGCAGTTGAAGCTATTGAAAAAGCTCAGAAAAAAAGGAATGATAGGCCTACATTAATACAATACGAAAAGCCCAGTTTCACACTGCTTTCACAAGAGTCAAATGAGCATGCAGGTGGCCAGGAAGATGAAGAACAGAGAGATGAGCATGTATATGCAGTTGCTGAGCATCAAGAGGAGCTTGATGAGCAACACAATGAAGCTCAGGTAGATAATGAAGAGGAGGTGATAATAAACGCAAGTGAAGCTATTCCTGTGACTGAATTAAAAGAGCATGATAGAATAAAGGCATCTGAAAAGGGAAAGCAAGCTTGTTTTGAAGGAGAGGGCCAATGTGGTGCACATGTGGAAAGAGAAAAAAGACAAGTAATGCCTGGCCCTGCTCTCAAATCTCCATACGTGATCAGAATTACAGAAATGAAGGCAGGAACAACTACTGAAGAAGTCAAACTAGCTAAATTTGTGTTTGAAGAGAACTCTGATAAATCGTAAGTAACTACATATTTGAAAACTGCTTGTCTAAAATATTTAATTAATAGTTAGCTGACAATTGCTTAAAATAAATAGGGTTGTGCTCTATAAAGATGGAAATCTGATTGTTTCAAGAAAGGAGATGGAGAGTTTGAACATTGATTCCATAGTCAGTCCACTGTTGATAGATTTATGGGCGATGATTTTGAATGAATTTGAGAGTCTGAAAAGCACTCAATCAAGGAATAGATTGATATTCACAACAACACCATGTGTAAGATTTATGATTTTAAATATTTTTATTTGAATTTGAAAATTATATCTTATACAATTGCTTTACAGAGAGTGTTGGAGGAAAATCAGATTAGTGCTGCAGCAACCAGAAACAAGAGATTCATTGAAGCTACAAGGATCCAATTCAAAAGGGCATTGCCGAAAGTGAAGAACATGGACTTGTTTATCTTCCCAGCTGAACGTAATGGTAGCTACTACCTAATGTGCTTTGATATGAAGTACATGAAGTTCTTAATCATTGATAATTGTGACAAGGAAATAGCAATAGGAATGAAGTACCTTTCTCAACCAACCCAACTGGTAAGTAATAAATCAAAATTATTTGTTTGTTAAAATGTGTATACTGTTTATAAAAAATGAGCATCTGAACATATTTAATGTGTAAATGTTTTTATTTACAGAAAAGTGCTGTACTTAAATGGCTTAAAGAAGAAAAACATCAGCATGCTGACAAAGTGAAGAATATGAAGCCAGAAGTAGTCAAAATGGCATGGAGAAACAAAAAAAAACAAAGCTAATGATGGTGTCTATCTGATGAGACACATGGAAACTTTTAATGGAGAGACAGACTGGGATTGTGGCCTAGAAAAAGAACATGTAAAGTACTTTTTTATTTTTAATCAAAGATTTAATGACATATTACTAATAAATAAATAATATTGTATGATAATACTAACACAAATAATCATGCAGGAAAAGCACATACAGGTCTTGAGGCTTAAATACTTGCACAAGATGTTGACATTTCAAAGGAATGAAGTTAGAATGGAGTTGATGAACAAAGTGAAGGAAATGTAGTTCTTCTAATGATACTTATGTTTAACTTAGTTTAATATGAACTTCAAATGCTTCTATGTTTTTGTTGGCAAAAGACATATTTTGTTCTTGTTAATGTTCGATGGTGAATGTACTGGACATGTGTTTTTATGATGAAAGAGACACTTCACGTTTATGGCAATGATCATTACTAGTACATTACATGCTCATTTTAAATAAAAATATACTCAATCTGAGGATTAGAAGTAACTTAAAATGTATAAACATTGAGTGTGAACTACTTTTATAATTAATATAAAAGTGTTTGTTTTTTTAAAGTACTAATAAGTTAAATATAATGCTGGAAGTAAATTCAAGCAAAAAATGTATGAGAATGGATACCAATGTTTAATGACATATCTTTGCTAAACATAGTCATAACTTCTTCAATAATGTTCATTACAAGTGTGTAGAATACTCAAACATTTTTTAATGAGAACAAGGTGGAATATATAAATGTTCAACAAAGAGTTAAAAAAAAATAACAGTAGATGTTAATAATAGAGTACATATTATAAACAGATACAAGTCAATTATATATACCTGATATATATATATATATATATAATCATATATATGAGTACGGATAATGTTTTCTTTGAACATTACAACACAAAAGTTGAGTATGATAACACAAATACGTATGACAATATATAATAATTTCTTTAATTAGTTTTACATGAAAAACGTTTGATTTTTTTAAGTATTAGTAAGGCAGATATAATACTGGAAGTAAATTCAATTTAAAAAAATATATCAAAATGGATACTAATGTTTGAATCATATGAACTTTGCTAAACACACTCATAACTTTTATAATTAATGTTCATTACATAAAAAAGGAATACTCAAAGGATTTGTTGATCAGAATGAAGTGTATTCGGTAAACGTTCAACATAAAGTGTGAAAAAAATATAACAACAGAGAATAAAAGAGTACTAGAAACGGATAAGAGTAAATTATAAATATTAATATATATGAGCACGCATATGGTTTCTTTTGAACATTAAAACAACGACGTTGAGTAATAAGATTACACATATGTTTTAAAAAAACAGAAACTAAATAGAAGAAGACAAATACAATAGTATATAATAATCTGATTACAAAGTTGCATGATCAGTGACTGATGTGCTCATTTGACGTAACTTTTTCTTTCCTCTAGCTTGATTTGTTTTGACTTCAATAATACTTTTGCGACGCACATTTCTTTCACCCTTCTTCCTTGAAGTTTTTGGATTAGATATTGCTGAAGGCGCACCAACAGAGGTGGAGTCACTATCTGAGAAATAAATGCTTCCAACTTGATCTTGAATAGCAACTTTCAAACTTTTAAAAGAGTCTTCACATAACTTCCTTGCTGCAAAATTTGAATCACTAGAGCATAACAGCTTGTGATATTTCTTTTGCATTTGCAGTCTCCAAACAGAAGGCAAGACAGTAGAAGTACCAGCTACATCATGAGTTTCTTCATTTACGTGACACTTTGCTGTACGAGTCCACCTTTTCAGAATATAACAATCCGGAACAACTTCCACACAGTGAATATGATATATACGAAGAATGTGACAACACAAAATACCAACCTCTAGGAATTTTTTACACGAACAACTAACAAAATGTGTTGGTATATCATAGGAAACCCAATGAGAAAACTGATCTATTTGAGGCATCCATACCAAATAACCCATTAAAGAACCTTGATGATGTCTAACTTCATATTTAAGAGACATACCTCTCATAAATTCCTTTTCAAAGAGTTTATATGCATCAATCGTGTAAACCTTGGATGCCTTATGTAACAAACCAACATAGGGAATAGCAATTTCAGGATAACCATCCCAACAACGTTGATGATCTTTTCGTTCATTACTTCGCCATTCACTGACAGCCTCACTGAAAAAATGGTAAAAGTCACAAAGAGACGAGTTCGCATTCATTTTTCTAGACAAAGAATGATTTGTGGATTCACTTCGTTGTGAAGACAAGGTTCCAGCTGAAAAGAACTCTTTTGAAAAAGCTCGACACCATTTCTCTTTCATCTCATATAGTTTCTTCAACCAAGGATTATCAGAGCAATTGTATTCAGAGATCATTCTACAAAATAAAAGACAATGAATTTACAAAACTAATCAATTCGTACAACCTGTTACTCATTGTTAACATACAGAATGCTCATAAAATCAGTACTAATAAAAATATGAAAAGATAAAACAAAATGTAGTCATAATAAAAGATACCTATTCCAGTAATGATCAAATTCTGCAACGGTGTGACACAATTTCAGAACATGATCAAACAAATCTAAGAAGCCCTCTTGATTCCTCAAGTCACGTATATGTTTCTTTGAATTTTCAATGATATGCCAAACACACAGACGATGTTTCGAGAGAGGAAATACTTTACAAATTGCAGCAGACATAGCGGCCGATTGATCTGTCATAATAGTTCTTGGATGAACAGAACCCATAGATTGCAAAAATGTAGTGAAAAGCCATTCAAACGACTCAATTCTTTCATTCAATAAAAAACCACAACCAAACATGCAATTATGAGTATGAGAGTTAATGCCAACGAATGGACCACAAATCATATCATATTTGTTGGTCCGATAAGTCGTATCATGAATAACTAAATCACCAAATGCAGTATAATCTTCTCTCATTTTCTTATCTCTCCAAAAAAAGCTACAAAGAGAACCATCCAAATCAACCTCAAAAGAATAGAAAAAGTCTTCTTCATTTGCATGCCTGTTCTTAAAAATATTAATCAATGTATTTGCATCACAACCGTCAAAAGATTTCTTAGACTTTTTTGTCAGTTCATTATAAGCATCGCGCAAAAGAAAACCAACAGAAGGAGATCCACCCGCTTCAGCTTGCAAGCAACGAAAACCATCTGCAATCTTAACTCCTTTATTTTTTAAATGTTGCAAATACTCCAACTCGCTTGAAGAAACAGCACGATGAGATCTAACATGATGAACTAAAGATTCCGGGCAAAACTGGTGATTATGAACCATATCATGCCTAACAACAACCAACTCACCTGTAGATTTGAACTCAAAATAAACTTTTGCCTTGCAACCAGTTCGTCTATCAACTTTTGTATATTGTTTACCTACAACACCTTTGTTTCTTTTCATACCTTGTTTCGTACAACAAAATTCCCTTCCTCTAAAACCAACACCGTTACTCCTCTTTCTCAAAGTAGAATAGCGAACACCAAATCCAATTCTATAAGCGTAGTCATTATATAGATCAAATGCCTCTTCTTCCGAAAAAACTGTTTTACCCAATAAATCAGAAATGTCTGCTTCCTTAACACATATATTTTCAGAACACACAGACTCATCAGTTTGATCTACATGAACAAAAGTAGAAGAATTTTGAACTGCAATAAAAAAAAAATTAAAAATTTGAATAGGGAAAAACCTAACAAAGTAATAAAATGTAAGAAAACACAATACTTGGTAGGACAGGAACAGATTCAGTTCTTGACAAAATTTCTTCACTTAAGGTATCAGCAGAATGCAAGTAATCTGAAGACATAAAAAATGCACAAATAACTAACAAAATCTCAAAGTAAACAACACAGACAAAAAAACAACACTATGTAAATTAAAAAGATAGAAAACATTACGACAATCAACTTCAAAAAGTTCGCCTCTCGCCTCAATATCTTCTATTAATTTGCCACTAAAAGAAATACCATCTGACAGGGGATGACAAATCAAAAGCAAAGTACAGATGATCAATACTCAGTAAAGCAATACTCAACTAAACAAATCAAATATATTGAAGGTGTTTCTTGAAAAAATACCTCCAGAACTAGACATAGCATCAAATCTTGGATAAACCCAAATGCTACAACAAAAAAATATGAATTGAATGAACAAAATATTATTTTGTTCCTACGATAGAAGAAAATAACCTAAACCTAAACCTGCAATTCAGAAGACAATAACCTGAACTGAATGAACAACTTCAAAAAACTAAACCTGCACAAGAATCAACGGAAGTAAATAATAAAGAGGAGCACATCAAAGAGAAGAAACTGTAAAAGAAGAACGAAAGTAAGATAGAAGATGGAAACAAGCAAAAACAAAAATTTATCATTGCAATACAAAATTGGAAGAAAACATAAATGAATAAAATAATAAAAAGCAAAGAAAAGGCAACGGAAATCTTACTCCAATTGATCGATGACCAGACGGAAACCAGCTGGGAGAGTCGCGGTAGAGACGAAACAGATGAAGGAAAGAAAGTTGGGAGAAGAGGACGAAACAGCTGGGAAGGACGAAGATTAGACTCAAACTTGGAATAATTTACAAAAAAAACCCGGCTGTACCATGCCCTAGGTACAGCCGGCTGTACGGTCTAATTTGCGATATTTAGAAACTCTAAAGCACGCACAATGAACTTCAAACTTAGTTTTATTATTCATAAAAACTGAAATGATTTTTCATAATTATTAGACAAAATAAATTGAGGACGACGGACGAATGTATATTTGCTAATTTTATGTTAATCGGTGTATCTCTATAAATTATAATTTTATACATGTACTCTAATACAATTCTATTTCATATTTTAATATTATACAATAAATATGTAATGCACGAGTCGAGTGACTAGTTATTCTTATTTTAATTAGTCATTAAAATGGAATATTTGGGTGTATACAAAACTTGAAATATATTAAGTGAAATTAATGTAATATATTGGGAAAAATACAGAAAATGTACTTGTGGTTGAGCCCGGCCGTTGTCAGATAGGGTCATGTGTTTCATTCTTTATCAAAGTGGTTCATGTGTTTGAATTCCGTTATCACAAGAGGATCACGCCGTTAAAAACGTCTGAAAAAGACCGTTAAAAGTAACTCCGATTTTCAAAAGTGCCCGGAAAATTAAAAGAAAAATACCGAAAAGTGTGCCTCGTCAAGATGACCTCCAAACCGCCTTCGCCTTTGGATTTTTCAGATATGTTTGAATTATTTTTTAAAAATGATTTCGCTATCATCACTTTTCCGGTGGACTTTCCGCCGTTTCCGGTGACAAGGGTGGCTGAAAACAAAAAAGAAAGATGGTCTAGCGGTCGTCTTATTGAGGGCACCTTCTAGTATTTTTCTTTTAATTTTCCGGGAACTTTTGAAAATCAGAGTTACTTTTAACGGTTTTTTTCCAGACGTTTTGAACGGCGTGACCCTCTTGTGATAATGGAATTCAAACACATAAACCATTTTGATAAAGAATGAAACACATGACCTCATCTGAAAATGGGTTCAACCACAAGTATCTTTTCCGTACTTTTCCCTAATATATTGGGAAAAGGGGCAAATAAGCCCATGTACTAACCAAAAAAGGTCAAATAAGCCCTTATATAGAAGACGTTGTCCGGTCGTCGCCATTTAGGGCGGTTCCCGATGGCATTTTTTCATGAAATTTTTTGAGCATCTTAGTCATTAAGTCTAGTTTTCTCATACCAAATTTCAGCTAAAACTTCAATCGGGAAGACATTCAAATAAATTCTTGAAGATAACAACGCAGTTAAAAGCGCAGTTATCTTCAAGAATTCATTTGAATGTCTTCCCGATTGAATTGTTAGCTGAAATTTGGTATGACTAAACTAGACTTAATGAATACGGCGCTAAAAAAAATTCATCAAAAAATTATACTGGGAACCTCCCCAAATGGCGACGGTGGACGGAGCCTTCAATATAAGGGCTTATTTGACCCTTTTTGGTTAGTACGTGGGCTTATTTGCCTTTTTTCCCCTAATATATTTGTTGGACTGAATATGTTACGCTGAATTTGTTCGCTATAAATTATGTGCATCAGCTTATTTTGGTTTGAAATATACGTCAATCAGACTGATGTTTCACAATTAATCATTCGCAGAACACTTCGGAGAACAAGTTTAATTATCGAATAACAAAAAAAGTGATTAGTATTTGTATATAATTTAGAGTACTTTTCTATAAGAAGCAGATCAGAATTATTGTTTGAGGTTTTTTTTGAAAATATTACTGAAATGAAAGTTATTTACAAAATATGGTTGATAGTTATTGTAGTATAATGTCATAGTCACTAATATAATGTGTCACATTTTTGTAAACAAAATATGATTTTAGTCATATATATAATTGTTCTCTCCAATTATTAGTTGCTTTCCATCTTTTTTTATTACGGAGTAATAGTTTGTTAATTTTGATTAATTCAATTATTTGCTTCCTAAATCATAACAGACAAGTGATTTTGAAATTTACAAAATATGTTATTTCAGTGTGTTGTGTGTATATACAATAGAAATCATCTCATATAAGATCAAAACAATAAGGAAATGCACAAACAAGAGTGTATGTGTATATGCCTTTTCTCCTTGTAGAAATACGTTAGGATGCTTTCTTTGGATTGCTTTCAGTCCCAGACCAGACCAGTAAATTATAGAAACTTGGATAAGTGCGGAGTATGTTTTTTTTTTAAGATTGGGTAAGTGCGGAGTATGTTTTTTCTCTTTATAGAAGCTAGTTGTCCTTATTAAAAGTGTTTTCCTATAAGGAACCCCTATACATGCATTTTTTATGGCTTTTAGTCTTATGTAGCCATGTAGGTAATTACCTTTTTGACTAACTATAACAGATGGAGATTTGATTATTTTTATTCACATAAGCTAAGGCAGAGACACGGTTAACTCTATATTTAAGTTAATGAAAATATAGCCAATTGACAAACACGGGTTCGAGGCGATAATGTAGGTTGATTCTAAGTTCCTTTTCATTGTATACAAGCAGAAGAAATAGAATTAGCTAGGGATCCACAGTGACGCATGAAATAATATAGTTTGAAAGAAGTAGGGAGTTACCAAAATTCAAATCAAGAAAATGTTAATGCTTTATAAACTTGACAAAAAATGTACCTTAAATAACGAATTGAATGAACTATTAAACTAAAACTATCCTAAACATTTACACGTATTAAAACATCTAATTAAAGGTTGCTTATCTTTATTAGAAACATCGGTAATAATCATCTTTCTTTTCTTTCTTTTTACTCCAGAGGGAGTCTGGGTGAGGGTGCCTGGGGTAATTAATGCTGAAACTCACTCAATTGAGTTACGAACCCGAAACCCCCGTAAAGAAGAGTGAGTCGATGACCAGTTGGGCTGGACCGTTTCCCCGATAATAATCATCAAATCATGATGATTATCCGTGCAAATCGTGCACAAATATAAAGATAAAAAATGAGGAATTTGATTTCATTCCAAAGAACCTTTTGATTAAAACATTGTTACAGCCTCGCAGGTATAATCAATCACAACTCATCCATCACTCATAAATAAAAGAAAAAGTGAGCGTTAAAAGACCTGTCTTGTAAAAAACGATAACTATAAATCAGAATAGATTTAGAAGATCTTCAAATGTTGATCAATAAAGGATTGGATTGCCAAGGGCATAAGTGTCAAGACAGGGAAGGAAATTTGGGACATCTCAGGGAGAGATAGACTGCGCAGTCGTCCTTGGGAGCAATGGTGGGGACATAAGCAATCTCATCGCAGCCGTCCGTTCGGTGACGCTTGAAATCAATCGTAGCCGTAAACACTGCAATGAAGAGTATCAGATGGTTGATCGCATACTTCTGGCCCACACACTGGTGGGGACCAGCCCCAAATGCCAGAAAGTTCCTCCTATAAACCCGGTCCTCTTGCCTTTCGTCCATAAACCGGTCCGGGTCGAATTTTTCCGGTTCTGGAAACCCCTGAAACGACGAATCAAATACCGACGGGAATACAATGGTTCCCTTGGGAATAACATAATTCTCCGTCAACCGGTAATCCTCTCCGGCGATATGCGGCACCAATGTCGCCGGAGTTCTGAACCGAATAATCTCACGCGCCACCGCCTCCACGTACCTCATTTCCCTGAGCTGCTCCGCGCCGATTGGCTGATCCGATTCCGGCGACCAATATCTCTTCACTTCTGTTCTGACTCTCTCGAGAACATCCGGATGAGATTCCAAGAGCGCCACCGCCCACACCAGGGCCGAAGTGGAAGCGTCTTGAGCGGCGAAGAGGAAGTCGAATAGATGCCCGCCGATCTCCCGGTGGCTATAGCCGAGACCCACATCGCCGCCGTTCTCCTTCGCCTCATTGGTTTCCCTTATAGCGTCTTGCATCCAGAAATCGATGAGGCAAGTAGCTTCTTCTCCCTTTTCCATCTTCCTCTGACTCTGCTCGGCGCACACCGAAAGCGTGTCCACCAGCCTGTCCACCGCCAGCCTCGCGTTTCTGAAAGCGAAACCCGGCAGGTCGATCGGAAGTTTCATCAATCCGACATTGAAGTAGTTGTAGTCCACATTGAACCTCCGCCGCGCCTCCCCGCTTAAATACATCCCTGCGAAAACAGTCTGGGAAGTTTCCAGGTTCATGTCTCGGCACAGAATGCGGAGTGGGATCGGCTGGGACGGCGCATTGGAAGACATCTCCAGCCAGGACGCCAGGTGTTTGATAATAATCCTCTGTTGAATACTCGTGTAGGTTGCCAGCGCTTTGGGGGTGAAGTTGGGGGCGATTCTGCGGCGGAGGTCTTTGTGTTCCTGACCGAACATATAGATTAAGTTATGCTCGCCGAAAAGCTTCTTCCCGAATGGGTGGCCAATGAGGTGGAAAGCATCTGGCCGGACATTGGAGAACACCTTGTGGGAAAGGTCTGTTGAATGGATGTAAAGAATGAAGCGGCCGATGATGTAATTCACTGAAATGCCATGGCCACTTGACTTTGCAAGAGACGACTGGACATCCCAGAACTTGGTCGGGTTGGTGACCAGAGTGATCACACTTCCGATGAACGGGAACACCAACGCCGGCCCGGGAAGAAACCGCTTCTTCTTAAGGTAAGATATCTGTTCATGAAGAAGGACAAGAGCTAAAAAGGAGATCAAATATGGGATGAATGGTGATATCACTGCCCATTTGGAGTTCTCCATCTCAGAGGCTTTTTTCTTATTAAAGAATCAATCTTTCTTCCTCCCAAATTTCAAATCCCAAACTTCTCCTTCCTTGGATCTAGAATCTTGATAGCGGGTTTTATTTATAGGACAGGAAACAGGTAGGATCTGCGGAAAGGAGAGAAAGGTCAAGCTTATAAAGAGCTGTTAAGACTGTTAGTTGGTGGTCAATATAAGCAACTGAGGGAAAAAGAAATCAGAAAAGGGTAGGCCGGCAACCTGTAAACGTGGTGTTGAATAATGGCAACCAAACATGAATTGCTTTGTGTGAGCAAAAAGGGTCAGCAAAGAAAAACGTGAAAAACAGAAGAAAAAGAGAAGAAGAGGAATTGAATGCAGGGCCTGGTTTTCTCCCATTGGCTGAACTAATGCGGTGCGCTGACA